TGGGCGGGGGGTGCAGATGGGCAGCCGGCCTGGCCCAGCCCGGCTGAGCAGCCCAAGGTCACTTGTCCTTCTTCTCCAGCTCCGTCTTCCCTTCTTTGGCATCCACGGCAGGCACCTCCTTCGGGTTGGTGTTCTCCTCGTAGCTGGGGGAAAAAAGAAAATGGGGGGGGGAGAGAGGAGGGAGATTAGAAAGCTCCATTCTGCACGCCCCACCCTCCAGCAGCTGCCGCACAGCAGGCGTTCTCCTCTGCCCCACAACATCCTAAGCCCCCACCCCCCAGACGCACACATATGGGGTGGCAGAGGTGGTGGGATCCCGGCAGGGAAGTGAACGTTGGATGGAAATTTCTGCATCCGCATGGTTCCAGTGGCCGTGTCCACATTTCAAACCAAGATCCCTCCTCCGTTTCTGAGCCTTATGACTCAAGTCTGAACCGATAAGAGGCACAGGGGCTGAACAAGGCCACCCTCCCAGGCTTCGGGGGGCTCAACAAATTTTTCTAAACACACACACACACACAGTCTCCTTACATCTTTTTAGGGGTCATAGCTGCAATTTCACCCCATTCCCTTGCCTCCATACACAGCAGGCGTGGACAGAAAAGAGCAGCCACCAAACCCGGCTCCGGTGCCTAAGGTTGTTTTTTTTTGTGGGGGATGCATCGTCTGAATTCCTGGGGTGCCATTTTGTTCTCGCCCCATAGACGACACAGCCCTTTCAAGGTGCCTTTTTACCTTCCACCCTTTCCGCAGATCTCAGCTCGGATCTGACCGGTGGTGCCGTGAGCTGGGCCATCGTCCTTGTGGCCACCATTCCTTGGGGCAGCTCCGGATAGAACCCCCCCCCCAAAAAAGTGGTGCTGCGACATTCTGCACAGGCATACGCCTCCGCTCACAGCCTGGACAGCTGGGGCCCTCCCAGTGAGCCCTGCAACCCCCATAAGCCCCCACCCTGCACTGACTCGGGGGGTGGGTGGGTTGTGGCCCTTCCCCTCCAGCTGAGGAGGGCTTCTTTAAAGCAGTGGTCCCCAACCTTGGGCCTCCAGGTGTTCTTGGACTTCAACTCCCAGAAATCCTGGCCAGCAGAGGTGGTGGCGAAGGCTTCTGGGAGCTGTAGTCCAAGAACATCTGGAGGCCCAAGGTTGGAGACCACTGCTTTAAAGAGGTGGCCTCTGAAGCCCAGGCACTTCCACAGCAGAAAACAGTGCAGGAAATCAAGCCCACCAGCCAAGCCCACCAGATTCGGCAGCCAGATGGGAGCCGAGAAAGGCTCCACATCCCACCGCTCTGGACAGCCCATGGGGTGGTGGTGGGTGTGATGGTTCTCAACGCAGTCGACGAGGGCAAAACCAAGCAAAAACCTAGGCCCGCAAGTCTAGGATTTCATTCTGCTGAGCCAAAGACAAAGCCGCCTTGTGGGCCACCAAGCCAAGCTGGCCCTGATCCATACACCCATCAGCCTGGCAGTTCAACAGAAAGCACTCTAAAATAATAGCTGGGGGGGGGGCAACAGGCATGCAGATTTTCCTCTCCCAATGAGAACAGCTCTTTCTAAGGATGCAACACTGCTCCGGCAGGATGGAGCCTCCTAAGGAACGATGCCCGGAGAAGTTTATTGGTGGCGGCAGGTCCCTGTTTGGAGGGGGGGGGAGAAGGCAGGCAGCTGTCCATAATGGATCCTGGATGCCCCCCTCCCCGGTCAGGAACACGTTGGCTGAAAACGTCCATGCCTGGCAGGTGCTTGGACTCAACGACCATCCAGGGATCCCACCAAACTTTACAGATCTATGGTTCTACCTTTACTGCAAACACCCCACGGATCTGGACACCAGAGCAAGAAGGGGCGGGTGCCACTTCCAGAGCCCCTGGCTGGCCCACCGTGAGGAAGCAGGGCACCGGCTGAGACAGCCTTTTGTTTTTGCTTCAGGGCACTGCTATTGTCCCAATGAGATGCGACGACAGGTTGAGAGACACGGATGGGGGCGAGGAAGCTGCCTGGTAACTCTTCAAGACACCGCCAAGCGTAGGGAAGACAACTTCCTGTTTTGATCTTGCCCTTTGGTAGACCCAAGACCACAGACTAACGGACCGACCAGCGAGCAGGGTCTTCTCTCGCCTGCAAGCCCACCTACCCCCTCCTCAAATTCTGCCCAAGGAGGTCCCGGGGCAAACCAGTCCAAGATGCTTTCAGTCTCCGTATCGGGAGAATGGCAGGCTGCCATGGACACGAAATAAATATTTCACCTGGTTCGGGTGTGATTCCCAGTCTGGTCGCCTACTCTGAGGGCTTCTGTTTTTTGGCCCAGTGACTGAAGCCGCTTGGAGGAGAAGCTGGCGCTCCTGAGACTTCTTGGGCAGACTTTCTCTTGGGAAGCCCTCCTTAGACAGAGCAAAGCTCAGAGGTCAATGGGCTCTGTTCTAGAGAAGATTTTAAAACATGCCACCTTCTGAACACGTTCAGGTCTCAGTACCTGGTTAGAGGTTAGCGAAGTGCTTTGGGGGAGCCTGGTTGCAGTCTGTGCAGCCTCGGGCACAGAAGAGGGGAAGAGAAGCCACTTTTAAGCATTCTCGACCTAGAATGCCTTGGAAAGGTTTCCCATATGTCAGAAAGGACTCAACAGCCTGTGATTTGTAGGTCTCGGATATTTATTTATTTATTAACCAGGTTACTGGAGTCTGCTAGCATTTCCTGTTTTACCTTTCAGCTTTTGAGATCAGACTGGTTTCAACGTACAAGCTTGTCAGGGAACCCATACAGGGTCAAAAACAAAGGGGAAAAAACCCACCACCTAAGTGAATCTTTCTTTTAAAACAAAAAAAATTAAATATTGACTGGCCACACCCCTCCAAGGCTGCTCTTCTACCTATGATCCATTAGCACTGCTCTACAGCTTGGGGAAGTTCTCTCTTTGAACTACAACACCCATTATCCCCCAGCCAGCCACAGGGCTGGAGGGATTCTGGGAGCTACAGGGCAGAGAGACAAAAAGTTCCCAAGCTCCGCACACAGGAGGGTGCTTTGCATGGGTCCCCGGCCCCCAAGGTTTGAGCATCTGGCTCTAGCCCACCCCCGCCCGCCTTTTCGGCATGCTGTTTCTGCCCCCCTCAGCTGGGCTAACAAATGCTCTCCCCATCCTTCCCCTCGCAGCAAGGGTCACTGAGGCCTAAAGCTCTGCTCTCCCCCCCTACCTGGCTAGAGACACACGGGCGGACGGGCGGGCAGACGGGCAGGGCGGGCCTGGCCCGAGAGAGCTACATGGCGCTGGGGTTTTGCGGCCGGCGTCTATGGGAACAGGACAGCGTCTGCTGCATGGAGTCAGCGAGGCTGGATGGAGAGCCGGAGACACTAGGGAAATGGGTGAGCCTTGGGGTATGGGGCAAGATTTCGGCAGAAGAATCGTAGCTGCAGGAGAAGAGACAAACAGACAAGGCGGAGAGACGGGAGAGGAAAAGGGGTGGAAAAAAGAAGAAGAAAGGCTTAAGAACGGTGGCAGGAGAGGGGCAAAGCCCATGGCCACAGCCTCCGTTCCTCCACCTGCTCCCACTGCCAAGCAGATCGGGAGAAGCATCCAAGGAAGGGCTCAGAGGGCAGACCGAGGGGAGACTCACCGGGTGAAGATGCACACCGGCCGGCCTGGGCACACTAGGAGCCCAAGGCAGAGTCCCCTGCTAGGCTGTGCACAAGGACAGCACACGGACAAGAGGGCGGCAGACAGCCAAGCAAAGGTGCCGTGACCCTGGGATTCTGCCCAGCTCTTCCTGCTTGCAGGCAATGTCCAGCCCGCGCTTCCTTCCTGGTCTAACCTCCCGCCCCCCCAACGTCTTTCTGTTAAGAGCGGCACAAAATGCAAAAGGAGGTTCCGTAAGCGAGGAATCGGCACAGGGGGGAGGACGGCAGCCAGCTCTGCCCAAGGACTTGGAAGGACTACGTTCAAATCCCACCCACCGCCGCTGTGCAGGTGACGAGGTGGCCGGCCGTGAGTGCTGCCTCGCAGGGATGTTGCGAGGGGGAAGTGAGGAGGAGAAGAGCCACAGAGACAAGGCAGCCCCATCAAGGAAATGAACCGATTGAGAAATAAAAAAAAACTTGCATGCACAAGGAGGCCACGGCGGGAAGCCGGCTCTTGGCCACGGGCGCAGAAAGGAACAAGTGCCTCTGAACACCCACCCACCCCCGCCCAGGGCCGGCTGTGCAGCTTCTCTACTCCCACAAAGGGAGGGGGGACTCCAGCTGAAAGGCTTCTGCACGGACCGACAACAGTCTGGACAAAGTCTGGACTACTGGCGCAACAGGTCCGGCAGCGGCAGGGGGAGAAATACAGCAAATCTAGAGGCAGCTTTGCAGATCCTAACCCCAAGCAATGGGGACCCCACAGAGAACTTTAACCGGGGGGGGGTAAGGGGAGAGGGAGGGACTCACCGCATCAAACCATAAAGCCAAGAAAAGCTGCCAAGAGAGAAAACCAAACCACAGGACGGTCCCAAAGCCTCGAAACTAGACCTTTAGCCTCCCCACCCCGCAGCATCATCCTCTATCCAGGCGTGTAAAGAAGCCCCATCCCCCTGGGTGCCAAAACAACCAAACCACAGGACGGTCCCAAAGCCTCAAAACTAGACCTTTAGCCTCCCCCACCCCAGCATCATCCTCCATCCAGGCGTGAAAAGAAGCCCCATCCCCCTGGGTGCCAGAAAAGGGAGGGGAAAAGGGAGGGGAAAAGGGAGGGCACCTGTCAACACTCCAGCACCCCAAACCAGTGGGGCAAGCTGGGTTGGAAAGGTGGGTTCCTTGCTCCTTCAGCAAGAAACCCATTTCCACGTCATTTGCTGGGAGGGAAAAGGAATTTTTTGCACCCTGGCAAGAACCCTCCTCCTCTCCGGAGGCAGAATTTGCCCCCCTCACGCAACGTGCTCCGTACGGCAGGGAAAGCTCAGGAAGGACGGGCAAGACCTGCAGCCGCAGGACGAAGGCAGCTCCCGAGCCGAGCCATCCCACCCTCACCCGCCACGGTTGGGAGCCAGCTTTGGCAAAGACAGCTCTGTGAAAGCCACCCCATGGGGACCCCCTGCCACCCAAGGGAGCCGAATGCCTGCCAGCTGTGCCAGGGCAGCAACTTCTGGGTGAACAAAAAATATATATATAGAGAGAGAGGGGCTGTCCCAGGATGGAGAGAAGCTGGCTTTGGTTTCTGAAAGGAGCCGACTTCTTCATGATTGTCCAGATCCACAAACTGCCTTCGTACCGTGCTCCGTCTGTTTTAATGTCATGTTCTGCCTAAGGACAGGAACGGAGATGCCTTGCCTTGGAAAAGGCCATGCCTATTATCGATGGACAAAGCATGTGCAAGAGAGGCCACTGAGCCACAGAGGAGACGGTGCCTCTGCGGCCCGGCGGAAAAGGCCAGCCGCGAAGCAGCCACAGAGCCTCCACCTCAGGGCTCGACCACTGCCCAAAGCGGCCGATACAATCAGGCCAGGGCCTGAATGCCGTAGCAGGGCCAACCGGGGGCAGCCTCCTCTCCTCCAACAGCATCAGCGCCCATCTTTGCAGTCCACAGGATTCGAAAAGACCGTCCTTTGACAGCAAGGTCCACCACCACCCCCATTGTTGTGCAGCCCTTCCCATGTTCTCTCCTCCCAAACCCGGCTTCCATTCCCAGGACCTATAAGGAAGCCTCAACCACAAGTGTTCACTGGAAGGACAGATCTTGAAGCGGAGGCTCCAGTCCTTTGGCCATCTCATGAGAAGACTCCCTGGAAAAGACCCTGATGTCGGGAAAGTGTGAAGGCAAGAGGAGAAGGGGATGACAGCGGACGAGGTGGATGGACAAGGTCATCAAAGCTACCAGCATGGATTTGACCCGACTCTGGGAGGCAGTGGAAGGCAGGAGGGCCTGGCGTGCTCTGGTCCACGGGGTCATGAAGAGTCGGACATGAATTAACGACTAAACAACAAGAACAACATATGGAAGCCGCCAGGAAAGGCTCATGGCCTGTGCCAGCCTCCCCGAGAGGGGCAAGAGAGGGGGGGAACAGGTGCCCTCCCATCCTGGGTGAAGGTCAGGGCGCCTGGGAGGTGGGAGGCCGGCTGTCATCCCCCATCCGCGCTGTCAGCACTCCCAGGAAACGGTTGTGCATCAAAGGGACCTGGAAAGGAGCCGAGCGACACCGCATGACACCTGCCTGCATTCCTGGGGGTGGGGATGGGGGAGAGCCTTCCGCCGGGGGGGGTCAAACAGAGGTGCTTTTCTGTGCACCCACTTCCTGCCCCCCCAAAAAAACCCACACCTCTTTCAAGGTGAAAGCTGGGAAGGATTCAAACCCTCTTCAAGCAATCAAGCCTACAAGGAGAGACAGAGAACCCCTGGGATTTCCAGGAAAAGTGTTCGTGCGTGTGTGTGGGGGGGGTGTTGTTGTTTCCACTTTCATCCCCAGCTTGAGGAAAAGCCTGCAGGTGCTTAACTCCCTCTTGAGAGCACTTCCCACGGTGCAGAATGTGCACCGGCTCCTTGAATCCCAACACTCAACCTTGGATCTGGAGAACTGGGGGCCTTCTCGATGGGTCGGACTTTACCTCCCAGAATCCCCCAACCGCCAGCAGGGAGGTCACCTGGGCAACATCCCTCCACCTGTCTCTCCTTCCCTCTGCCCCATGGAAGCTCCTTCCTTCCAGCTCTCCTTGGCTCACAGCAGGATGGGTTCCTTCTGCC